ACATTTAATCAACTACCAAACTCACAAATTTTGTATTTTGTCTGTTTGTTTGCTTTGTTCTGTTAGAAATGTAATATAATTGACTGGTTGCCCTGACACGACAAATAAATAAATAAATAAATAAATAAATAAATATGTACAGTATTTATATTCCAACCTTCTCATCCCGGAGGGAACTCAGGGCAGATCACAATGCAAACATACACAGCAAACATTCAGTGCCATTTTTTGACATACAAGACATACAGACAGATAGAGGCCATTCAGCAGTTCTTCCACTTTGGATCCTGGATGTTACTCAATTTGGCCACAGAGGGAGCTGCTGCTTCATCCACTATGACACCGAGCCTTTGGATTGTAGTATTTTCTCCTTGCTTTCCAGCATTTTTATGGTGTCATAAATTAATCTCCCCGCTTTAAGCGGTGCCTAATTTCTCTCTTCTCACAGCACAGCTGTTTTTGAACTGCTTAGGTGGACAGTAAGCTGGGCTATTTTTAACAGCTATTTTTAAACAGCTATTAACAGTCAGGAGCTCAACCCCATCTCGGGCTTCGAACTCGTCACCTTTCGGTCGGCCACCCTGACAGTTGAATCGTCCTTTCTCAAACAAACTATGATGGCTGGAAAGAGATGGGTAAATTTAGCAAAGAAAAAAGAAGGCTGAGAGGGGACATGTTTAAATATTTGAAGGGATGTCACATCGAGGAGAAGGCAAGCTTGTCCTTTATTGCTCTGGAGTCTGACACAATGGAACAATGGATTCAAATGGCATGAAAAGAGATTCCACCTAAACTTCCTGATGGTAAGAGCTGTTCGGCAGCGAACTATACAGCCTTCATTGGAATCTCCTTTTTTGGAAGGGCATCTGTTAGGAGTGCTTAGATTGTGTGTTCCTGCATAGCAGGGGATTTTATGTTTCTATGAGTTGGTTTTTTAAGCAACTCCAACAAATGACAGAGAGAATAGTGATAATAAAATTAAGCTCCTTGAGGTACTATGAGGAATCTGAAGCTGTGTGAGTTATCCTACGCACTCTTTGGTCTAATCTCAAATGTAATCAGTTTACCCTTCTGTGGTGATCCTTTCCTTTGATAGTTTGGAAGAGTTTCTTTTTTTTATTGCAGTTAGTTGGTAAAGAAGGCTTAAGACCTTGAAAACTGCAATTATCATGATTCTATAGCCCTGAACCATGGCAGTTAAAGTGGTGCCAAACTGCATTAGTTCTACAGAGTTTGCTCTTATCCTTAACGCTGCTACACGCCTTATGCACTTTACTTATCGGCTCTATCCTCCAATCTGTTGTGCACCAGCCACACATCCATGTCAAGGCTTGACTATGTTATTGCTGTTGGTTTTGATGTTTGTTTTATATTTTGTATAATGTTGTTTTATGTTGTTTTAAATTACTGTGATGCACTCTAATGTGCTATGATTTAACTCCGTTATTTGGGATTATGGCACAGCTGGCTGAGTGTCAGCTGCATTAAGATCACTCTGACCAAAAGGTCATGAGTTCGAAGCCAGCCTGGGTTGGAGTGGGTTTCCAACCAATTGTGTAGCCTGTTGTCGACCTTTGCAACCCGAAAGACAGTTGCATCTGTCAAGTAGGAAAATTAGGTACCACCTTAAAGTGTGGGGAGGCTAAATTAACTAATTTATGAGGCCATAAAAAAAGACTCCAGCAAGCACTCCAGCAAAAAGCATGCGGGGAATGCGGAATTACAATTATAAAGAGAGAGAGGGGGGGGGGAGGAAAGTGGGGATGCTAAATTAATGATGAGGCCAGAAAGAAGACTCCAGCAAAGCATGCCAGCGGGGAAGCATGCGGGAATGCTGAAGTACTTCATCAGTCGCAGATGGACGATGAAAGCGACAGCTCCCCTGGCTGCCAGAAAAAGTTAAATAGCCTCTGTCTATGTCTGTATATGTTGTATGTCAAAATTGGCATTGAATGTTTGCCATATATGTGTACACTGTAATCCGCCCTGAGTCCCCTGCGGGGTGAGAAGGGCGGAATATAAAAGCTGTAAATAAATAAATAAATAAATAAATAGGCCCAGATTCCATTCAGGGAGATAGCGGCAGGGTGTAAAAATAAAGTTGTTGTTATTATTATTATTATTATTATTATTATTATTATTATTATTATTATTCTACTTTACTAGTCAAAAGTTTGGTTCCATAACCATGCCTTTGTTCTCTTTCTAAAGGCCAGGAGGGAGGGCACTGATTTCAGAGTCAGGGAGCCACCACTGAGGAGGTCCTGTCTCTCGTCCCCACCAGTGGCGCTTGTGAAGCAAGTGGGATCAAGAGCAGGGTCGCCCCAGAAGATCTTAACCTTAATGCTTCATAGAGGGAGATATGTTTGGACAGGAAAGCTGGGCCAGAACCATTTAGGGCTTTACAGGCTAAAGACAGCAGTTTGAATTGTGCTAGGTAGCCAGCTGGCACCCAATGGAGCTGGCATAACAGGGTGGTTGTGTGTTCTCTATACTCCGCTCCGGTGAGCAATCTGGCTGCCACCCGTCGGACCATTCGAAGCTTCCGAACAGTCTTCAAAGGCAACCCTATGTAGAGTGCGTTGCAGTAATCTATTCTCAATGTAACAAGAGCGTGAACCCCCACTCTTTGGTATCCTTATTTCGTTGAGCAACACTCGCTGAGATTTGTCAGCACTCTGATGGATTTCAAAGTTTCACCAGATATAGTTAAATCTTATTTCGAATGAATCTGTTTCCTACAGTTTGAACCCCTTGCTCTATGTTTTAATCTCTGGAGAGCAGAAAACAAGGTTTTCCCATCTTCAATGTGACATCCTTTCAAATATTTAAAGAGGGCTCTTATGTCCCCTCTAAACCTTCGCTTTTCCAAGCTAAGCATACCCAACTCTTTAAGCCGCTCCTCGTAGGACATACCTTCCAGAACTCTGAACATTTTGGTGAGCTTCTTTTGATCAGACCAAACAACAACAACAACAACAACAATTGATCTGTTCCCTTGAAAGCTTTGATTCATTCTTATTCTGACCATGCTAGTTGGCTAGCTATACATTGCTATCATCATCACTATTCTATGCTTTTTAATGTGACAACACCGCCACCTTGCGGTAAAAATGAAAATTACTCCCAATAACAGGCTATGAAAGGAAGAGTTTGCCAAGTAAAGCAATAACCTTTCTAACTAAGTTTTGAAATGCTGGAAAAAGATAAAAAAGATTTTTATAGCTAGATGGCAGATATTTTAAATATTAAATTACAGATGAAAACATATTTTTCTTCTTCTTCTGGACTTTGGAAAAAGTATATTTGAATGTGTCAGCTAAGCTGTTAAATGCACAGCTACAGGAAGATATGGATGTAGCTACAAAAACTAACTGGTTAAAAAAAAAGTTATGACCTGGGGAAGATGAACAAATTGATGAATCTAATAAAAGAAAAGACACTGGAAAAATTAGGAAACAGCAATTTTAGGTGTGTATGATTTGAGTCCTTGTTGACACAGGGGGTTAAACTGCTGAGCTGCTGAACTTGCTGACCAAAAGGTAGGAGGTCCAGGGGTGAGCTCCCACTGTTAGCACCAGCTTCTGCCAACCTAACAGTTAGAAAACATGCAAACGTGAGTAGATCAATAGGCACCACTTCTGGGTTGTTGTGTGTTTTCCAGGCTATATGGCCATGTTCCAGAAGCATTCTCTCCTGACATTTTGCCTGCATGTATGGCAGGCATCCTCAGAGGTTGTGAGGTCTGTTGGAAACTAGGAAAATTGGGTTTATATATCTGTGGAATGTCCAGCGTGGGAGAAAGAACTCTTGTCTGTTTGAGGCAAGTGTGAATGTTTCAATTGGGTAGCTTGATTAACATTTAATGGCCTAGCAGTTTTCAAGGTGTGGCTTCTTACTGCCTGGGGGAATCCTTTGTTGGGAGGTAATTAGTTGGCCCTGATTGTTTCTTGTCTGGAATTCCCCTGTTTTTGAGTGTTGTTCTTTATTTATTGTCTTGATTCTAGAGTTTTTTTAAAATACTGGTAGCTACTTCATTTTCATGGTTTCTTCCTTTTCGTTGAAATGCTCCACATGCTTGTGGATTTCAATGGCTTCTCTGTGGAGTCTGACATGGTAGTTGTTAGAGTGGTCCAGCATTTCTGTGTTCTCAAATAATATGCTGCGTCTAGATACCGCTTCGGTGGAAAGGTAACAGCGCTCCATCCAATCATGCTGGCCACATGACCTTGGAGGAGGTCTATGGACAAAGCCAACTCTTCAGCTTAGAAATGGAGAGGAGCACCACCACCCCAGATTTGGACATGGCTAGACTTAGTGTCAAGGGAAAACCTTTACCTTTACCTATGTATGATTTGTTATTTATTGTTATATGTAGTTTTATAACACCAAGTGATCCTTTAAAACATTAAAAGTATTAGGTTCTTGTGGGTTTTTTCAGGCTATAGGGCCATGTTCTAGTATCCATACTAGCGAAAGGAGGAAACTTTGCTGTAACCGCCACCAGGATCCCAGTAGAAAACATCATTGCCAATGTTGAATCAGCAATTTATCGCCTCCCCGAGGAAGAAGCAGAAGAAGTAAGAGCGGAATTTTTTAGAACATGGCCCAAATAGCCCGAAAAAACCCTCAAGAACCTAGTGATTCCAGCCATGAAAGCCTTTGACAATACATTAAAAATATTATTGGCATATGGTGGTGTATTCATGTTTATCACTTTGTATTGTTTTTTCCCCAATAATAGCAATAATATACAAATTACAGAACACATATATGGCAAACATTCAATGCTGTTATACAATTAACAAGGACAGACAATACATAAAGGCTTTCCCCATCTTTTCCATTTCCGACATCTGGCATTATTTGAATTATTAGAAGTAAACTGAAAAAAAAATCACACAGTCATAGAAATAAAACATATGGTTTGCAAATGAAAGTTGTGTGAAGAAAAGAAAAAAACATCTTTTTTGAATGGCAATTTTTTCTTGTTTTCACAGCGGATCCAAGCCTTGTATCAACAAATACCTTAACAACGTCGAAAGTAGCCTATTTTAAGAGAAAATATGCAGAAGAAGAAGAAGATCTACATCAGGATTACCAGGGGTATTTTCCAAAAGTGAGTCTAGGCGGGTATTGTTTTTATGTCCTGATGTATTCTTTAAAATTCAAGCAAATTTGCCTTGCAAAGATTGCAAAACCAGAAGTAGGCAAAATAAAGATGCATTGGGTCTGGCCAACTGGGATACTAAAAGTAAAAACATGAAGGTCCCAATTAATACTGCAAAGAAAGAAAGAAAGAAAAAAGAAATTGAACCTGGTATTAAAATAGCTTCCAAAGCAAAATTTGACATATTATTTAGACTATTTAAATATTAAAATGGAATTAAATGTATACAAATATGAAAATCAATCAATTACATTTCAATATTAATTAATAAAAAACAATTCTAAAGTTAATTTAATAGGTCAAGATTAAACTAAGGGGGCTCTGTTTGGAGATGGGACCCATAGTTTAAGAAGCAGTGGTCTATATAGAGGTTCAGGACCTTGGAGAGCATTTTTGAAATCCAGGCTGAAATGCAGACCGGAGAAAGGATTCACAACCTGTTGGCCCATAGATTTCAAATGTCATTGCAGAATGTAATGACATTGTATCATTAAAATCAAGAGTGGGCTGCAGAAGAGAAGGCCGAGAGGAGATATGATAGCCATGTATAAATATGTGAGAGGAAGCCACAGGGAGGAGGAAGCAAGCTTGTTTTCTGCTTCCTTGGAGACTAGGACACGGAACAATGGCTTCAACTACAAGAAAGGAGATTCCATCTGAACATTAGGAAGAACTTCCTGACTTTCAGAGCCTTCTTTGGAGTCTTTTAAACAGAGGCTGGATGACCATCTGTCGGGGGTGCTTTGAATGCAATTTTCCTGCTTCTTGGCAGGCGGTTGGACTGGATGGCCCATGAGGTCTCTTCCAACTCTATGATTCTATGAGGCCCTTAATCTGTTTGGGGTCCTTCTGACCCTTTATTTGTAGCCAGATGGAAAAGTTCCCCTTAGAATAGAGTGTAGTATTCTTTGTCTACAGATCATAGAATTGGAAGATACTTGGTGGGCCATCCAGTCCACTCTCCTGCCAAGAAGCAGCTTGGTGGCAACCTAGCCCCATAGTTTAGGATATTTGCTGGCAGTCTTGCTTACCTTTATTGGAGGAAAGGTTGAAGAAATACAAGAAACTAATGGGATTCAGAGACCATAAAAATTGGGTCCAGGTGGCATTAATATCACTAGATGGACAGTGGATAATAATAATAATAATAATAATAATAATAATAATAATAATACTTTATTTATACCCCACTTCCCCAGGGGGACTTGGTGCGGCTTACATGAGGCTACGCCCATCATAGAATCATAGAATCAAAGAGTTGGAAGAGACCTCATGGGCCATCCAGCCCAACCCCCTACCAAGAAGCAGGAATATTGCATTCAAATCACCCCTGGCAGATGGCCATCCAGCCTCTGTTTAAAAGCTTCCAAGGAAGGAGCCTCCACCACACTCCGGGGCAGAGAGTTCCACTGCTGAACAGCTCTCACAGACAGGAAGTTCTTCCTCATGTTCAGATGGAACATGAGGTAGTACATCAGTACAGTATACACAATCTAACACAAAAGTATAACAAAACCAGAAAATAAAATACAAAAAATGCACAACCAATATAATAAGTGACACAACAATATAAAGTCAAACATTAAAACACAAAAGATTTCACTGGGCAGGTTCAAATTCAAGATAAAATGATAAAACACTGGGAGACAGGGCAATGTAAACTAGATCCGGGGATGAGGAAGGATTTAATTGCATAAACCATAAAATAAAGTGCTTCTGAGTTCATTTTGTGCAAAGTTCAAGTGATACTCATGTCTATGACTTTTATGCCTTTGTCTTCCTTGGTATGACCTGTTCTTCCAGCTCAGCTTTGTGTTAACTGAGTTTTCTACCTGAATCGTCCACTAATATCTTTTCCCCTCTGCTTAATCACCGTAGCACCTGATCCTACCTGAAGACCGGACTTGTATTTTGAAACTTTCTCTGCAGAAGCTTCAGTTTCTGGAAGACCCCGAGATCTATCTCCGCCGGTCGGTCTTGATTAACAATTTGCTGCGGAAGATCCACCTGGAGACCGAGCAGGAACGCTATGAGTACTTTAAGGGAGCCCCGTGCTGCCGGACTGCCTACTCGGATGCCAGAAAACGGCTGAAGTTCATGGTGCAGGAATGCCAGTCTCAGTCCCTTTATTATGAAGAGCTGCATTCGTATCATATCGTGCCTTACGAACCTACGGAGAATGCCCTTTATGGAGTGGGCTATTCCAATGGCCATTTGGAGCAAAATTCCCAGTTGCTTATTTATCAGATGAAGTAAGGTGGCTTGTCTTTCTCATGTTCGTTCCTGAACATGGTGGCTTCTAAGCATGTTAGTGGTTCTGAATGTAAGGGAAGGTCTTCAGCTGTCTTGGGGAGAGCTTCAACAACGGCGTTCAGGACTTAGGCCTCTTTGGTTGACTTGGTGTCTGTAAGAAATCAGTGCAATAGCAGGATTTCTGGGAAGCAGAAAGACCTTTAACCCATTCGCGGTTGTCAGTTGTCTGTCTGTACATAATTGAATTCACATTCACAGCTCAACTCTTCTACCCTCCCTTAGAAAGTTAAACTCAATATAAGACAATGATACAATAGAAAGCATTTGGTGAGGATTTAAACAAGGTGGTAGTTTATTTCCACCTTGGAAAGTTAAAGACAAGAGACATTGGGAAGACTTCTTTGCTATTAAAAGTACTGGTTTCCTTTTCATCCTTTTTTTATGGGGGTGGGTGGTCGTAATTTTAGAATACTCAACAGTATTATCTGTTCAGCAACTGATGGGGTTAGTAATTCAATTGCTGGCAGGCTTGGTTACTGTTCTGGTAACTTTGAAATTCGTTAAATTTAAGTGAAACAGAGATCTGGGAATAGATTGACAGAAAAGAAAAAAAAGCATGCATCTGCTAATCTTAGCTTTTTCAGCTTGATTCAAACCCCCTCTGGAGTTCCTGAACCAGAATGCAGAAGCATTATTTTCTTGGACTACAAGTCCCACCAGGCAGCATAGGAATTAACCATTTAATCTGGAAGATTCTGAGAACTGTAGTCTAAAAGGTAATGTTCTCAAGATCAGCATGGAACAAAGCAAACAATGATGTACTGTACCTTAGACAAACTTCATGTTGGAGGGACTATTCTATTTATTATTATTATTTTAAAATAATCTACAACCCCAAGGCTGAGCCACTGAGATTAATAATACAGTAAATCCCCAGTATTTGCAAGGATGACATTCCTGATTGATACACAGATGTGACTGAATATCATTCAACTAGCTTGCTGTCGCCCCAGTATATAACAGAATTGTTTTGTGGGACCTAAAGATTTGCTAGGTCCTCCAATGCAACTTTATGGTAACTTCCAGGGAAAACATCTCATCAAATTGCCTGGAGGACATAACTGCAGGGGTGAAATTCCTGGCTGAAACACAGATATGACTGACTATCATTTAACTAGCTTGCTGTTGCTCCCAGTATACCACAGAGTTGTTTTGGGGACCTAAAGATTTGCTAGATCCTCCAATACAACTTTATGGTAACTTCCATGGAAAAACATCCTGTAGAATTGTCTGGAGGACATACCAAATTCCAAAAGTGACAGTTTGCCCCCAGGTGCAGATACATGAAACCATTGATATACATGGACAGAAATATATAGAATTAAGAAACAGTTGTTTCAGACCACATTCTTAGCAGAGGAACTTGTTGGTTTTTTTTTAGAACTGAGTTTATTATAGTGCCATTAGCACACCCTTCATTTTGGTAAACTAAATTAGAATGGAGAAAGTCTGTTGCTGTGGTTGTTAGTGTAGACGGAAATTCATGCTGATGTATTGCACATTGCTCTGAGATTGATCAATAATGGTTGATCTTTCTTCTGCCTACTGTTGACCTATTAGTATCAGTATTAATGCTTTGTCAGGTAAATGTGTGTATGTGTGAATGATTGCTATGGGTAGATCATATGACTGAATAAGTGAATTATGTACAATGGCCATAAATCCTTGAGGAAACAAAGAATGTTACTTTTTGTGGCTACATCTGGCCAAATAGGCAGGATGGTTCTGGGAGCATTAATCCAAAAAAGCTATCTTTTCCAAGCTGTGAAGTAGAAACCAGTCTATTCAGTATTGTCACAGTGTTTGCTGTGGATGTTGATATCTAGTTGGCATTTGTGAAATTTTCAGTATCTTCAAGCACATCACACCAAGATGGAAGCTAATGGGTTGGTGAGGATTGGTCAGAAATGTTGTTGCTGCCAAAAGTATGTGCTCTCAAAAGACCAAAGAGAGAATCAGAGGGAGGAATTTGCAAAATAACCTTACACCAAACCTAGAAGTCTATGGAAGCTCTGTCTACACGATCAGCTGAGGATAGTTTTGTTCTAGCTTAACTATGATTTGCCCCAATTTTGAGATTTTTCAAAGACATTCTGGCCCACTATTAAAAACAATTATGAGGTTAAGCAAGGAATCTATTGTAAAATCAGTTTAAGTCTCTTCTCCAGATGTATTTTACTCACAAAAGTTTCTATTGTTGCCTGAACGTCTTATTAACTGAAATTGATTGCTGAGACATATATCTCCAAGGAAACTGATTTACATCAGTGTGGGTGGTGATAGAAGCTTCTAGGTTATGTAACTTTATAGATACCTAGAGGTGCTAAGAAGTTAGTGAACTGCAAATACTGGAAATCAGAAATGTCCAGACTGATGCACTCCAGGACTGATGCACATTGCTTCTGTTGTGCATTAGTTCTAATGTGAATCAATTGCTTTGCAAGTTCCCTTATGTAGTAACACAACAGCAGCACTTTACTGAATCCAGATGCCATGGACCTGCTCAATTCTAATTCCTACAGATAGACTTAAGAAAAGTTTCAGAAGTTGCATATAAGCCTCCCTTATTTCTTTCAGAAGAGTCAGTTTTAGATTCTGAATTCCATCTTCTTATACCCATCCTATAAAATGATTTCTATGGGCCCTTGCACACAGCCATATAACCCAAAATATCAAGGCAGATAATCCACAGTATCTGCTTTGGACTGGGTTATCTGAGTCCACATTGCCAAATAATCTAGTTCAATGTGAATTTTGTACAGCTGTGCAGAAGGGACCTCAGTCACATGCTAATTGAGCATTTAGGGAAGGTTTCTGATTGTTCATGAGAGTAGTAGAACCCTAGATAGCTTCTATAAAATCCTTCCATGATGGCACCACTGCCTGGGTTTTGGATCAGCTATGGTTATTCCCCAAAGATATCTTTTGTCGTGGCCAGTTGGTCAATTCTGTACACTGAATAACCATTGTTGGAGAGAGCTGGCATGGACACATGGAGATGACGTCATTAGGAATGCAGGGAGTTGCTTCCTATTGGGTCCATGCAGCCTAGTACTATCAATGAGGACTTGAATCACAACCTCTGAGGATGCCTACCATAGATGTGGGTGAAACATCAGGAGAGAATGCTTCTGGAACATGGCCATACCCCCTGGAAAACTTACAGCAATCCAGTTTTATACATTAATTGTACCATGGGTAGCATGGTTTCGTTGGATAACATAGCCATTCAACACAAGGCTTGTGTGGGACGTATAATGTGTAGAGACTGATGGAGCCCCCGGTGGCGCAGTGGGTTAAACCCCTGTGCCGGCAGGACTGAAGACTGACAGGTTACAGGTTCGAATCCGGAGAGAGGCGGATGAGCTCCCTCTACCAGCTCCAGCTCCTCATGCGGGGACATGAGAGAAGCCTCCCACAAGGATGATAAAAACATCAAATCATCCGGGCGTCCCCTGGGCAACGTCCTTGCAGACGGCCAATTCTCTCACACCAGGAGTCACTCCTGACACGACAAAAAAAAAAAAAGTGTAGAGATTGATGCCCTATTATCCTGATATTCTTACATCTCACTCAACATGCCCAACTCATATTCCCTCCAATTGAGTACAGGTGAGGTGTTTAAATCATTTTGTTATGTAGGGAAGTTGGGAATTAAGGGAAAAGGCCTTGCAACTATGGGGACACAGGGATAGGGATGTTCTGCATGGATGTCCTTGATCCCACTTTTTTTTCATGTCAGAAACAACTTGAGAAACTGCAAGTTGCATCTGGTGTGAGAGAATTGGCTGTCTGCAAGGACATTGCCCAGGGGACGCCCGAATGTTTTGATGTTTTACCATCCTTATGGGAGGCTTCTCTCATGTCCCCACATGGGGAGCTGGAGCTGACAGAGAGATCTCATCCACGCTCTCCCCAGATTATGTCTCCCACATTATGCCTTGTGCATGACTCAGAATGTATGAAGAGGGTTCCAGTGCTATTTGACAATAGAATACATTGCATCATCGAATGTTAGGCTCTCCATTTTGGGAGGTCTTTAACAGAGGTTTGATGGACATCTTTTAGGATTGCTTTAGTTGTGTATTCCTGCTTGGTGGTAGGTTGAACTAGATGCTCTAGCAGACCCTTCCAGCTCTATAATTCTATGATTCTCAGTGTTCAATATCTTGTTGCCATTCAGGTGGATTAGACGCAGTTGCTTTTCCCCTTAATTTGCTTGAAAGTGGGAATTTAACTTTCCCAGGATGACCTCTTACGGACGCATCAGAGTAATAACCATCCCATTTTTAAAAGTTAAAACACCCGGAGGATTTGGGCCCAAGTCATTTGGACATGTGAATGATATCAGCATTTCTGCCTTGGTTTGTATACATGTGACTGTAGCCAACTAGATTAATTTTTTGTGCCTCAGCTTCAAGTTCAAGGACTGTATAACCTGTGTAACCAAGTCTGCAAATACCCCTTCTTCACTGAATGGGCAAGCTATCATTTCTAGAATAACAAGCATCCTGCATTTTCTTTCCCTTTTTTGGAGTATTTTTTGTGACTGATGAATGTGTGTGGTTGAGTTATATGGAATATTGTGCCTTAAAGTTTCCTTCTTGTGTGAGCCTTCATTTCCTCTCTGTGAAAACTGTACATAGTGTGCTATAGCTGGGGATGATTTGATGCTCTATGATGACCCAGTGCTTGGTACTTGGGTCTAACAAAAGCCATTGTTCTGTACAAATGCTGATGGAATACCAGAATGTAACCAACCAGCCCTAAAAATCCACACATACATCCTGACATCGACGTTGTTTTATTTTCATTGTCTTACCTTGGAGATGAAAGTTTTGTTTTTAACTGCAGCTGAGTCATATGCCTGATGGGCATGATCTAAAATCTAGTCAGAAAAGCTCTATCACCCCGGCCCTGCATAAAACAGCTTGGAGAGATAACTAGATTTGAGAACTTCATATTCTTTTGACTGTACTTTTATGGGCAAAAGATGGAGAGGGCGCTTCTTTCCCGCAGGCTCCCATCTTTTAAATAGTCTGCAGATTCGCCTGTATTGTTTAACACAAATGTACTGTTCCCTCTCCAAAAAGACCAGAAATAGTCTTTGAGGTTATTCAAGAGGGTTTTGTTTGGGGTAAGGAGTGGGACCGCA